CCCTCTGGAAAGCGCCGGCTGCACTAGAAAGGTCACCCGCGAGCAAATGGGCTGGAATAAAAGCGAGGAACAATACAGCAGACAGGTCTTTCTTAGGGCAGATTCAGCTGGACGGGGCTGTGAGCAGGGGCCAGCGTCCCCTGGTTACCCTGTGGAGCGTAGCGCAGCAATCGAGACGGTTTGCGTCTCTGCGTTCGTCACTCTGGTTCAAGTGCAGGAACAGAAGTACCGTTCCGCAGCTGTTCCCAGAGCAGGCTTCATGAGCAAACCCTCTCCCTCGGGGACCATCCATTCTGCGTCTCCGCCTCTGTGCAGGGAGAGAAGGATAAAAGACCCACCCCCCTTTGGGAATGATTTCAAGGTCTCCCACACCTAGGGGGCCACGCCACTGTAACTGCCCGGCTGCCATCCCCCCCCCAGTCATTCATGAAAGAATATTTTCTGGCTTTGTCGGATTCGGCGATGGCTGAGACAGCTCCTCATCTCTGGAGTCTGAGAACTCCCCCGCCCCCGCAGAGAGGCCTCAGCCCCTCCGGCACTGCACAAAGGGAGAGAAATACAAGGAGTCGCTGAAAAGAAGCGAATTAAAATCAAATCAGGGACTAATAACAGCAAAGATACTAGCTGGGGTTTCTGGGCCAAACATTCGCAGAGCGGTGGCTTTGTAACTAAAGATCCTACTTGGCCTCGGCGTTAGCGTGGAAGCCTGAAGGGGTTAAAGAAAGACAGACAGACAAGCGATCTGACACTCAGACGAGCATTTACTTCTTGCTGTCCACATACACTGCCCCCCTTGCTCCCCATACCTTGTGCCTACGGGCCTCGGCCCTGGAAAAGCCAATGCTCTATTGATTGATTCTTTCCCCCTCTTTGTATCTAGCAGCCAAGTGCTCTCTGCTTGCCGTGCCCCGCAGCCCCCGGGGACAGCACCTGCTCCGGCGCTTTGCTTCTTGGATGAAGAGTTCCCCTTTGCTCTTATCCAAGCGGTGGCAGGAACCCATCTGTGCAAGTGGCCCCTAGACAGGCTCCACCTGAGAAGGCGAGTGGGAGCCGAGGTTAGGGGACTGGGTGTCCTCTCCTCTCCTCCCTGCTCTGCTTTGTATGGGTCAGCTGATGAATAATCGCTTGTTCGGAGAGAGCAGGTGCAGCCCTGGCTGTCTGGGAATAGTCATCACGGAGCGTCACTGAAGGGGGAGCAATCAGGGCTCAGTGGAGAGTATAAATTAGAGGAGGCTGTTCCACAGAGCACCAGGCTCCCGGGCACGGAGGAGAGCCAGTTTACCTTCCGGCTGGAGATGTCCGTCTGGGAGCCCGCGAGGCTCTGCTGGAGCTCCCGCCGCGGCAAATGCGCCCGAGACGTCTTCGCTTACGTGGTGACGCCCGACCGCATCCCGCAGTTCATCATCCCCTCGCTGGCCATCCAGGAGGACCACAGACTCTTCAGCAAGGGGAAGGAGCAGCTGTGGAGGCCGGGCACGGGACAGCCCGAGCGGAAGGCCAGAAGGAGCAGCTCGGACCCCGCCATGAAGAACGGGCGTGCCCCGCGGGGCTCCGTGCCGTGCTGCTCCAGTGCAGAGCTGGCCGCCTGGGTGGCGGATATTCCAGACCCCGTCACCCGGGCGGCCCTGTCCCTGCCCCACTTGCCCAAGATCACCACCCCTTATGGTTTTGTCACCCTGCGGGAGAGCCCTCAAGTGACCAACGAGGAGGCCTTGTTTTTCCACTTGCACTTAGCTCCCTCCAGGTGTCCTGGGGCCAAGAAACACCCTGCCACCCAGGAGCAGCTGGGAAACTGCCAAGACCCCGAGGCACCCATCGCCCACACAGATGGTCGCTCCTGGAGGGGTGGCTACTCGACAGACTGCAGGCTGCCCGGTTCCCAGCAGCCCAGCTGCAAGGGTAGAAAAGGGAGCCAGGGCTGTGATCAACCAGCCATGCCCCCTTTGCCCAGAAGAAGTTCCAGTCCAGTAAGACACAGCCAGATCACAGACATGCTGGGGAGCGGAGAGGCAGAGGACACAGAGGGCAAGCAGAAGTCTCTGCCCTTAGAAACTGTCTGTCAGAGGAGCTACTCCAGCCCAGAGCTCCCTGCCAAGACCAAGAGGAACTTTTTCCAAAGGATCCTGAAGAAGCACTTTGCACACCTCAGACATCTCAAATGTAGACATTTTCCTCTGCACTGATCTTGTGTAACAGCCCCTAGGAACCAGGGCCTACCATGGGGTGTATTCATTCCCCAGTGCCATGAAATTCTACCCTGTGGCTAGGAATCCGGACATAAACAAGAGCTCTGGACATTTTATTCTACCCTCAAATGTGAAAATGGTGCAAGGAGCTGGCTGAAGTGTGTGCACTGCTGCCTTCTGCTGGGAGTAGGGGGAATCAGCACTGCTCCACTGCGTGTCATAGGCCCTACACTGCCAGCAGTTCACTGAGATTCTCTTCAGCGTGAGTCCTGTGTAGGGAGATACCTTCTCTCCTTGCTGTTGTTGTGGCGTGCAGCCCAGTGACAGCGCTGCAGCCCCAGGGGACGGTAGATTTGATTGCAATGCCGTGTATCTATATAATGGTGGAGACTTTTACTCTGTGCACAAGTGCCTTTTCTCCTTTAGTGTCTGTCCTGGTGCTTGTGTATCAATAAAGTATTTTTGCACCAACTCAAATCTCCTGCCATGTGATGACTATGCCTTGCAGTGTACAGTGGGTCCCTTTGCAAACGGTGCTACGGTCTCTGTAGAAGAAAAGAGAGTCGTGTTGCCACCTGTTGGCCGAATGCAAAAACCACTGGCAGGGTATGCGTTAAGCACCTGATGCTGGCTGGTACATTTTCCATTTCTTTAGAACTTAGGGTGAGAGGGGGAATATTTTCCAACCTCAGCATGGTGGGGAAAGCCCAAGGGATGCTAGGAGTGGGCTAAATTTCAGAGGGTAAGGCCAGAAGGGGCCAGCAGATCACCTCGTCTGACCTCCTGTATATCCCAGACCGCCAGTCCCACGCTAAATCCAACAACTGGAATGAGACCAAAGTCTTACAGGCTGCAGGAGACTAGACTATTCTGTAGGCTGAACGGCTAGCGAATAAGACACTGGCCAGTAAAGTTCCCCTCCAGAAACAAAATGGCTTCCCTGCGCCTCACATTCTAAGCACAGTTTGAGTATCACCCAATTCGCGGCAAATATTATTATTTAGTTATACTGGGGTGATGCCTCACGGCCCCAGCCGAGATCGGGGCCCCACTGATGCGGTCCCTGAAGAAAACGTGGTGGAGAAGGATTGTTACCATCTTCCTTTTGCAGCTGGGCAACCCAGAGAGATTGAGTCCCGGATCCGACAAAGCCCAGAGGCACAAAGCGCCTCCACCCCGGCCACCCCGTGTCCCTGAAAGGCAATGAGATCTAGGTGCCTGGGGTGGGGGAAGTGGGAATTACCCCACACTTGCCGGGAAAGGGTTAATGCAGATTGAGAAGGGGGATAATTCCCCCCACAAGCCGCTGCTGAGAGGAATCAGGTGGCTAAGTAAATGCCCCTGAGGAGGAACAAGCGGGCTGGGACTATAAAGACAGGACATTGGCAACAAAAGGGAGGCTGCGGGGAAGTGCTCTGGAGTCACTCCCAGGGAGACGGGAGTCTGGGCTACAGAGGCATGTTGCCTACAGTCACTCCCCGGGAGGAGGGGGTTATGGGGCTGGCAAACCCAGAGCGGGGGAGAGCCAGAAGAGAAGGAAGGGCTCAGGGAGAAGGCTGCAAGGTTCAGGAGGCTGCTGACTAGAGGGTCCCTGAGCTGGACCCTGGAGTAGAGGGTGGGCCCGGGTTCCCCTACCAGCCACTGGGAAAGTGGCATCGGCTGGGCAGTGACTGGAAGGACTGGCTGAGCCTGGTCATTAGAGAAGACTTGGTCTCTCTGGAAGGAGGAAACATGCTTAGTGACTTGGCCCTCCGGCCAGGCCACGAAGCAGGAGCAGCTGGAGTTGCAGAGACTGAAAGAGCAGCAGC